CGAAGAAAACACACTTCTGCCGCTCCCGGGACGACCTTAAAAATTTATCAGCCCTTCCCTAGGTGCCCTCTGAAATAAGAAAGTTTCCCTTCCGGGCTCTGAGATGTCTTGCATAACCAGTTTTCTTGAGTGTAAGCTGCGGGGAATAAAGCCTGCTAGATAAGGTTGTCTAGTTCTGTAGCGTTGTTCTTATAACAGGACATGTCTTCCAGAGAAATTTAAATAAATAAAGCATGACTATATTATACTTCTGTGTTCCTTTGACATCGAAGAAATCTTCACGTATTTAAAAAATGAGTTTTAAGGTATGACAATTTCATGACAGATCACGAACATTTTTTACACATAATCCAATACAAAAACGTTGCAAATGATTTATAAAATTTATTTTAAAAAAATATTTAAATATCGAATAAGTGTAGCGATACATTATTCCTTATAATTTCTCTAAAAAATTACATAAAAAGTACCCTCCTCAAGACGTTTTTAATATTCAATTTTTGTTTAAAAAAATCAAAACATATTTCAAATCTTCACTGCTTACGTAATGAAGGAGGCCTTCAGTACCACCAGTTGAAAAATAGGTACGGCATTACTTTATGTATAGTTTAAATCAGTGCCTCTTTGTGTTATTTCTCAAGACTTCTTTTTTTTTTTTTTAATATAATTTAAACATGTCAACCACCTGGGTCATTATCGCCAAGATTTCTTTTAATAAATATGTTAACAACATTTCTTTTTCACTAGTCTAATTTAGATTCTACCATTTTAAATGTTCGTTGAAATTGTATTTAATGGCTATGATAAAATCTTTGAAATATATAAACAAGACTTATTAAAGATATAATTTTTAAATAAACTATATGAGCCGTTTATTTAGAAAGTGACGCAAGTCCTTTATACTTAAATTGAGATATTTAAGGGTTTGCTTTTCAATGCTTAAGTGTGTCTAAAAGAGTTAAATTTATAGTTCTTAATAAAATAATTGCAATTATTAAGTTAATAATGTGCGTTTTCTTACTAAGAATGGAGTAGACAGCAAGCTTCGTTATAAAATTTGAAGGAGCCCAAGTCCACTTAACATAACTCAAGATGCCCTAAAATAAAAAAAATACGCAATTTATTTTCACCACACCTGTCAGGAGTACTGACAATTAACGAGTCAGCTGTCAGGAAAATATTAATAGTGGCTTGATCGGCATGAGGGAAAGGAGTGCCCAGCGGCAGTCCTTCCTGACTTGACTTAGGAGAGGAAATCCCTCATCCAGCTTCTTTTGAGCCTCCGAAGCGTGTTTTCGGGCATATTAATCGAGGCCATGTCTTGTATCACTGTGTTAGTACGTCTATATAAGTTATTGTGAATTTTTTTGTAATGTGTCCATATGTGTTCGTTAACTGTTGGCATCATTAGATTTATAAAACATTTTTTAACTACAGAAACTACAAAACAATTTAGTGGTCATCTACATCTTGTGCGAGTGAGAGGGATTTAAATAAATCATGATGTTCCGGTGATATATATATATATATCGTAGTAGGTCTAATATGTACTTGAATTTTGAAAAAAATGTTTCATCAATCTTTTCTCCATTGTTATCCTCTGACGATCAATATTGTTCTATAAGTCTGTTTCTTTTTTTATTTTCTTGAAATCAACAGTTACTTATTATTCTTCTCTGTTTGAACTCAATGGTCTTGTCGATTTCCTAAAACCATGTGGGTAAAACAATTTCTAAATTTAATATTACATTTTTAGTTTTTTATTAAATTTCAACTATAAGTATGTATATTGCATAATTTAAATATATTTCTCCATTGTTATCCTCTGACGATCAATATTGTTCTATAAGTCTGTTTCTATATATATATATATATATATATATATAGATAGTATGGCCAAAAAAGATTAATAAAATATTATTAAACACTTTTTATTAATTATAATTTTCTATTTAAATTTTAACGTTGTTGTTAACGTGTTGGTCGCCTGACGTTTCTCGTCTTTAATCTCTAAAGAGATGAATATAGAGAATATAAGATACTTACTTATTATTGGCCATAATAAAACATTTATGCTACCATGCTAGCTCAGGACAAGGTTAGGTTGGATTTTCTTTTATTAAGCATTAAAAAAAAAAGGTATTTCAAGTTTCTTCAAGAGATTTATTTACAAGAAAACAAAATATTTACAGAATACTATGTACCAGCTAAAGAAATAAAATAAAAGTAAAAGAGAAATGAAAAGATAAAAGGAAAATACTTAATATAATAGAAATAACAAAAAAGATAATTATTCTATGTATAATGGTGTGGCATGCCACATTTAAACATAGAAGAAAAAATTTGTTCAGAGCACATGCACATGCTAAAATAATTCAGTCATAAATAAACAAAAGAAAGAAGGGTTTTATTTTTTTTCAACGCTTCCTTAATCTTGGTTACTATATATATTAATGATCAACTTATTAACTTAAAATCACCATTAATGAATCTTAATTATACTTCAAAACGATTATGTAATGCAATAAAAACTTGGTTTTTAATTTAGAAAAAGAAATTAAATTATCATCCGAAAATTCAAAATACTTTTTCAGATACAAAAAATTTAAAAGAGAAACAATTAAAAGAACATTATATAAGAAATGGCTTACGCATATTATATCATAAAATTAATAAGAATAAATTAATCTGGTATTTCTTACTTTATGAAATAGATTTTCTGTTCAATTTTTATTTCACTTTTAAGTTCAAGATGTAATGTTCTAAATTACGTTTGTAGTTGTTTTTTAAAAATATGTCCGAAGCCAAGATTAACCGTCAAAACTCAAAACCGCTCATTCTAATTAAATTGTATTTATGGGCTTTTGCAGTGTGGCTGTCAATATATTTTATTAAAAAACTTGTTTATTGTTGATTATTTCATTATTTACACGTTAGGATAGTGTAAAAATAATATAAAAAAACACATTAAAATTCTTAGAAAACAGTATCATCTTGTTTTTTCCAGTTTGGCAATTTTTGTTCAATGTCTACTCTGAGCTGTGAGCTTGCATGTCATTATTATGCTTATAGAGAATAATAACACTGTTTATTTATTTTATTATTTAAGATGATTTTAAGTTTCCGTAATAAAAATACTTTAGCTAAAAAAATATAATTATAATATAATTGTGGGTTGATGGTTGACTGTAGAGAATAATTGAAAAGAAGGATGGTTAGGGTGATCAGTCAAAATAAGAATAACAAAAATAAATAATAATGTTTATTTTTAAATAAAAATAAATAATAATATTTATTTTTTAATAAAAATAAATAATAATATTTATTTTTGCTAATTTTATTTTGATTGACCGTCCCAAACATCCTTCTCTTCAAAAACTATTTATCACTAGAATCCATTGTCCGCCTAACGGTGTACCAAGCCCCATTTTATAAATTATACAACTGCTCATTTAATTTTACTGCTCGTGCCCCAAATTGTATAACTGTAATTTACATGTATTCTGCAGCTCTGATTGTATTTCTTTATTTCTTTAAAAATCGATGTCATACATCGAGACTTATTGCCAATTTATATTACTATAATTATTCTTATTGCCAATTTGTAACCATAATATATATTAAACTTGTCCTCCTTCACTTAAGCCCTATATCAATTTGAGCCTTATATTTCTAATATTTTTATTGTACATTATATTGTGCTTCATTTTCTATTTCTTAATTATTATAATTGTATCACAATATAATATAAATAATATAATATATAATATAATAATTAATATATTATATTCATGGAAGAAAAGTCTAGATCGAGTAATAACTGCTGTCACATAGGGAAAATCGAACTACCACCTCCAAATGAATACTATTTTCCATACAATATTTTTATTTAAAATCTTTATTTTGTATTAGGAGAAAAGCTCAATTTGTACTAGAACTCAATACTGTAACGAAGACACCAGGGTGTAAATCTCTATTTTGCATTAGGATAGTAGGAGGTTACAGGAGCTCAACACATGTAATTAAATGAAGAACGGTATAATTAGTGCTAATTATAGAGAAAATTGGAGGGCTCCTGTAATCTCCTACTCTCTTAATAATAAAATAAAACATGAAAGCCACTCAAAACTTGTTTATATAATAGATAAATGTTTCCTCCAAATCCTATTTTATTTATTATATCAGTATAGTATAGCCCAATCCCTTGTATGCCAGTTTTTTATTTAATAACATTTTTTATTTTATATATTGGCTTTATAAATTTCTGCCCTATTTAAAATTTCTATTTTCACATAGTCAAAAAATTATTCATAATACTGTGCCCTGCTAAAGATATAATATTTGGTATTCTTAGGATTTTAGTATATTATTAAATTTTGATTTTTTTTTTCTTGTTCTTTGGAATTGAAATTTAATATATCAGTTTTCACCATAAATTAAATTTATATTGAGTTAATTAAGGCCATAATGTGACCTATATGTGATTTCCAATTAAAAAAAATATAAAGGAAGGAGATGGTCCGGGGTTGCGGTCATAAAAAGGCTAAATAGTGGTAAAACTATTTTATTGAAAGCCAACGTTTCGACCCGACTTTGCATGTCTTCATCAGGGAGGTGTGTTCCTCTAGGAGATTCACTTAGAACTGGAGTTTCACTTAGAGTTTTCAGTTCTAAGTGAATCTCCTAGAGGAACACACCTCCCTGATGAAGACATGCAAAGTCGGGTCGAAACGTTGGCTTTCAATAAAATAGTTTTACCACTATTTAGCCTTTTTATGACCGCAACCCCGGACCATCTCCTTCCTTTATAATGCAACGGTCAACTACTAAATATTAAAAAAAAAATATGTTCAATTAATTTTCTCTTCCCCACTGTGGAGCACCGCTAGACATGATATGCGACAAGTGCGCAACGCTTTTACATGCTCGGTCGATCATGGCCTCAATGAGCAAACATTTAATAACGACCTTATTATAACTAATACCACTCTTTTTCGTAGGTGTACGGCTCGCTGGTTGGCCGCTGCTCATGATCCTCTGTCTCCTTTCGTGACGCCTATTGTCATCTCCGGAAAAGAGTCCTCAGGGTCGCTGATGGTGCCTGGAAATTGTTCTCCAGCATCTGCTGAAGATGTCCTTGATTTATTTAGCGACGGTTTCACTCTGGAGAATTCTTTTAATGTGTTTCGGAGTGATGACTTCCTTCCTCTGTGGGCGGTTGCCCAGAGACTGAGTATATCTGTTCCTTTACCACTTTTAATTATCTCCGCCTCAGAAAAAGGTTTCATTGATATTTACATTATACTTATTTATAAGAATATTTCATAAGGCATGAATTTTCTGTTGCATTACTATAATTAAAAATAATAGTTTTAATAAAACATTAAGCTTCTAAATGGTCAGTGTGATAATATTGTAATATATATTTTTTTCATCTTTATTACGATTTACATCGACACATATTTTAATAGTATGAAAATAAGGTAATAGTAGTAGATCGGATGTGTATATATTGAACTTTCAGCTCATTTGAAAAATATTTGTAACATTGCCATTTATTATTATTGTTCCATTCGTTTCTGATTGTTTCTCATGATTAAATATTAACTAAATTTAACTGAGTATACATACCTCCCTATTTGTATTAATAATGAAATATTTTATTTCTTAGAACTGTTTCACTCTATTCCAAATGACAACTGTTAAGATTTTTAACAATATATCAAAAGTTCCGTATTATGATTATTTTATATAATTATTTTTTTAATTTTATATTTAACGCATTTAATAGTTTTAAAAATTGAAAGATTAACAAAAACAATACAATATCATATCGAAATATTAATATTTTGATAATAACAAACAATTAAACCTATAAAAACATGCATATTAATTACTAACATTTTTATTAAGGATTTTTAATTTTCGTTAATTATCAAATGTAGATAAGATTTTGGAATTTTACCTCTCCTAAATATTGTATAAAACAATATTGCAATCACTATTTAATTTCTTTGTAATATATAAACTAATGCTTATAACCTTTGCAACATTAATATTTATATTTATTAAATATTCTAGATAAAATTTACTATTTAAATTTTTTATTAGAATTTTAATTAAGTTTTATTGTAATTAAACCTTATTTATCAATACCAAATTACACGAAATGCTCCGAAATGGCACAAACCAATTTATATATTATAATATTGTCAAAGAATTGCAGATTGTCCTGATTTCATTGTTATTTTTTCAAGCTCATAAAATAATTTTCTTATTATTTATTATATATTTTCTTTTTCGCTATTGTTAATATTTTATTTTTTCAAGTTTCATGTTGTAAAAGTAATCCTTATTAATTTCAATATTTAAATTAAACGAATATAAGTTATGGAAATTAAAAAATTAAAATGAAATAAATGAGATAAAAGATTTGAGAGGTCAGTTGTTCTGCACATTGCACCTGATTATCTATGCCATCAATTACCTCATTTCCTTAATAGCAATCATAAATTACGCTCCTTAAATTACTGATGTATCATAAATTGATAAAAATTTAATTCATAATGTTGTCTGTGACTATAAGACTATATAAATTATCGATATTCTTATTAACCTTAAAGTATATATAACTTAATTTTATCAAAAAATTATTAGCAGTCGTAAATCTTTTTTATAGTACAATCAGCTTTTTAAGCACTCTCAATGAAATTCCTTACTAGTCTCTTATAAGATTAATATTTAAAATGATTTATAGAACATGTAACTGTATTTATTGTAAATATTATTGTTCTGGGTGTGCTTACTCAATTTTGTGATTTACATAATTTACAAATAGTTACCTCTCTAATTTAATATACCTATAATAATTTAATACACCTATTGATCTGTTTTAGGTGTGATAGTGAGATTATTTTTTTGAACAGGGTAAATATATTTATAGAATGTGAAATATTATTGTTTGTATAGTAAATATATTTTTTTCTTTTTTGCATTATTTCATTATTGCAGCTCAAATTTTATCACGTAATGTACGATTTAATGACTTATGTAAATAAATATAAATGTATAGATTCTATTACTAATATATTCATTAATCATTTAATATGCCTAATGAAGAAACATTTTTAAAAAAGTTATTACAATCATTGTTAATTAATTTTCATGTTAAAAAAAATATTGAAATATTTATAACGTAAGGTAATTAACATGGTAATTATAAGCGTTGATGTTAATACGAATTAAGTATAACTACACAGTTTAGAACTGCAAATATATGTCAGGATAATCTAGATGTTAACTGTCTTAATCATTGTATCTGTTTGTAGGTGTTCATTAATGATTGTTCTCCTGGTGAAATATTGTTTGTTTGATGTTTCAGCTACATTAAAGATTAAATATATGGTGTTTTGTTTATTTAACGATACCCTCTGTATCTTAATTAAAAAAATAAAATCAATACGATATAATATATATTTATTGTGTTATTTTTACTGTTCATAAAATCTATCCAATATATCCAGAAAAAAAGACATTTGAAAATTTTATCTGAACAGACTATTTATCTCATGGATAAACATATTCGGTCTCTGTAACTTCCCAACTTTTCGAAAAAGAAAAAAATTATGTTTTTAACATATTGAGATTTTTTTCCCAAGTAGTTAGAATTTGTTAGCTATGCATATACCTATATTTGAGTAGGATAATTTTGAATCATTGCGTAAAATTAAAATAACCATTAAGGGTTATGCATGCATGAAGATTTATTCTTATGAAGTTCCACATTGAGACCGACAATAAGAAATTATAAAAATAAAGTATTGTAATATGATTATGACTAGTTGAAATATTTATACGTAGTGTACGATTTGACAATTAATAGAATATTTGCTAAAATAATTATACTCGCCTATGAAACAGATATACTAAAAGATATTTTAAATTAAAACAGTATTAGATAATTGGTCTCTATGATCATCAGCCCATGTCACTTGCCATAACATACAATAATAATTATATTAAAAATATTAATAATAGTTAGTATTGATTATTACGTCACTTTTGGAAATTCGGTTCCTTTTACAGTGGCATTTTCTGTACATTCTGTCGCCTCAATTTTGTTCATAGTGGTCTTGTCTATATTTTTTTTTCTAGTAGGAGTAGACCTTGGGTTAGTTGGTACGCTGTGTATACAATTTCATTATAATCTGCCGGGTCGTTCTGAACTACTGAAGAAGAGACGTTCTTTTCTGTCTGTTACGACAACTCTTTTATTGGAATTGATCATTTTCGGAAATTATTTTAAAAACGTATTTTCCCTTTGACTTGAAGGAACTACCTCAGATATTCTGAATTAGATTTTTCCCACAAAGAGGACTAGAAAGTCAGGGCTCCTAAATTAACCAACAATGAATCTATGAACACATTATACTTGTACATTTCTGATTCAAGAACCAACTGGAGATATCATATGGTGCTAGAAACCTATAAACACAAAAAATTTTAACTAAAAAGGTTATTTGAATTTTCAAGTATAAACGTAAAATTTTCTTTTTCGAAGTTGAAGGAAGAAGCTGTGAAAGTGAACATACGTAGTTGAAGGTGATATCCACCGAAAAAATGGATCCCAACCCAACTACAAATGTTGTGGTAAGGGACGAAAGGATGGACTTAATCGACGCTACTTGTGGTGATGCTTGGGCATTGGTAACGGGTAAAAAAAGAAATTTTCCTAATGAATCTAGGGATCCGAGAAAATACAAAAAAACTGAAACAGAAAATGCAACGCCAATATCTGTAAGTAATTCTTATGATGTACTTAATACCATTACCGAAAATGAACAATCCGCAGTAAATGATCAAACAAACGAAAAACCACCACCAATACACATAAACGACGTTCAAAATTATCAGGCATTAGTCCTATTCCTTGAAAACAACGCAGCTCCAAATTCTTTTTTTCTGAAAACAACTATCAAAGGTGTAACAGTTTACCCGAAAACACCTGACGTATACCGTAAACTAGTGAGTAGTCTTAGAAATGGAGGTGCTGAATTCCACACATATCAGCTACCTGAGAACAAAAATAGAAGAATTGTTATTAAAAATTTGCACCACACCACCCCAATCTCTGAAATTAAACATGATTTAGAAAAACATGGTTACATTGCAACAAACATCACAAATGTATACTCTCGATTCAAAAAACCTTTGCCCATGCTTTTCATAGACATAACAAAGGCTACTATCAATGAAAAAATTTATGAAATTGAATAAATTTATTATACAAAAATTGTTGTAGAGGAGCCTCGAAAAAAAATAATTATACCTCAGTGTATAAGATGCCAACAATATGGTCATACAAAATCATATTGCAACCATTCTCCACGATTTGTTAAATGTGGCCAAGCCCACGAAAGTGTATCCTGCTTAAAGACCAGGGAGACAAAGGCAACCTGCGCAAACTGCCTTGGAGAACACCCGGCCAACTACCGAGGATGCCAAGTCCTGAAGGATCTGAGGGCGCATAGGAGAACAGCAAGAACCAACCATCCTCCTAGATCCCCACCTCTCCCTTCACCACCAAGTTTCGAAGAATTTCCGACTCTTCAGCAGCCCTTGCGAAAAGAGCAGCCGATACAAAAAAATTCTTCGCAGAAGGCTACGCCAGCTCAGCTGCAGGAACCATCAAGGAACCAGATGACAAAAAGAGATAATGCTACTACATCTGCTCACATCAAACCATCATGTTTAGGTATGAGGCGGGAAACTACTCAGCAGCCACCTTCAGCTGAAAATAATGCCCCATCTCAATTGTTCCAATTACTCAATGGTTTAAACTCCCTCATACAGCCCCTTTTAGTATCCTCCAACAGCTTGCACAGGTGACTCAAGCCATGTATTCACAAAATGGCCGCTAATCAGCTGACTGCAGGCTCTTTGTCCATCCTTCTGTGGAATTCAAATGGACTGGCACAACACCAAATGAACTGGACTTTTATCTTCATGAAAAACGTATAGATGTAGCCCTGATAACGGAAACTCACCTTACACCACGATCAAAATTCGGTATTTCTGGCTATGTGACACACAGGACAGACCACCCTGACAACACTGCCCACGGCGGCACTGCTATACTTATAAGATCTTCTTTATCACACAACCATTTACACTTACCAACTACACCTGACATTCAGTCCACAGGCATCACACTATGCATGAAAATTCACACTAGCTTCCATCTATTGTCCTCCAAGATATGTGCTGACATCTTCGATGTTTTGCAACTTCTTCCAAAGCTTAGGTCGATGTTTCATAGCAGGTGGTGACTTCAACGCAAAGCATCAACATTAGGGGTCACGACTATGCACACCAAGAGGAAGAAATTTGGGGGCTGCTATCCACGAGCTTTCATTAGATACTATAAATCCTGACACACCGACATACTGGCCTGGTATCGAGACTCAAATCCCCGGACCTTTTGGACTTCTTTATTACAAAAGGACTGCGTACTGTACCTCATTCCATAAGTACGAGCTCTGATCTTTGCTCTGATCATTCAGCGGTACACCTTATTGTACTCGATGAGGCCGTCAACGTGCAAAAAATACCAGCTTTCATCAATGGACCAATCGCCTGGGATGCATATAGAGAGTTTTTAAACTCTTCGCTTTTGATCCCAGTGTCCATAAAAGGTGAAAAAGAACTGGAGGAGGCTGTGGAAACATTCACCAAAAATATTCAACAAGCTGCTTGGACATCAATACCAAAACTCAACTCTGCGACAACTGAGCACTTGCCGAAATATCCTCAGTACATAACGGACTTAATCAGAGCAAAGAGAAGAGCGCGTAAAATATGGCAGACTGATAGACTCCCTTCA